GCTCGTTTTGGTGGCGTTACAAAATGTCTCCTCCTCTTTCTCCCTCTCTATCCCTCTCTCTAACTCTCTCTCTCTCTCTCTCTCTCTCTCTCTCTCTCTCTCTCTCTCTCTCTCTTTCTCTCGCTCACTCTCTGTCTCTTTTCTTCTCCTTCCCTCCCTCACCCTCTCTCGCTTGTGCGCTCGCAAGAGCACAAGCAAGAAACCGCTCACAAAACAGCAAGCACGCACGTAAATGCCTCCCCCCCCCCTTCTGTGGTGTGGGTTCACGAAGTGCGCAAAACTACAAACCAATTCAGTCGTGAGACTAACAGTGCTTCAGAACAGAGTTCCTATTCACTGCACACTCACTCAAAGTAGTGTATTGGGCAAAACACACTCGTATGATCTCCTAGGGAAATCATCGAGACGAAATCACAGAGGATGGGATCAACACGATTCCCACTCACTCCGAAGCAAAACAACTGTACAAGCTGATCTAAAACATGACAAAACACTCATGTGTCAGCCACGCAGTTTGCTGAGGGCTCGTGTCAAAGATCCGAAGTCCAAGCACAGCCTGGCACTTCAACACTAAGGGGATGCCCTGGCCACACTCCCTTGGCGCGTACTCGTTTGGCTCAAGACTGAGAAAAAGGACGAGTGCCTGTGCTTGGTTTAGGACGGACAGGGCTTGCGCTTTCAAGAGAAAAGGTACCTAGAGGGACCTTCAGTTTTTCACGTTTCTGCATGTTTCAAGAAACAAAGCACAGAGAACCCTGGACCAAATGGAGACGAATGTCCCCGGTACACTTGAAGTCCGAAACAGCTCTTCGTCTTTTGGCGCAGCAGTGAGAATCACTGCAGGAAAGAGAGAATACTCTAGAGCCTTCGACCTGTTCCGGCGGGGTGTTAAGTGTACAGCATGTGTCCAGGTACAGCGAATGGGTGCAGTAGGAATGACAAAGAATCAAGGCCTAAGGCATGGTGAGTTCGTTGCAGAACGAAGTTGACACCGAAGGCTTAGGCTCAAGAGTCGAAAGCGAGAAAAGTTGTTTTGCACTTTGAGTGTGAGCCATGTTTTGCACCGTTTTTTTCAACATCCTTTGCCGTTGGCTGCTTTCGCCGAGGTGGTGTCGGCCTTCTGAGGACTACGAAGAGGTGTCCTTTCGTCGCGCGAGCTGAACCAGTTTGCCAAGTGCAAAGCCCCTGAGCATGTATACGCCACAATCAACTTGTTGCGCAGTATCAGCAGATCCTCACAAGGATTTTCACAACGCTGAAATTGACAACATTGTCATTTCGTTGGGAGTGTTTACTGGTAGAGGTGTTTGGATAGAGCATCCTTCAGGGACAGACGCAAACATTTCGCAGACTGGCAAACTTTTGAGCTTCAAGAAAGGTGTCATCGAAGCCAGCCCTGATGGTCCAGCTGCATCTGCGCTTCCAGAAGAGATACGCCTTCTTTAGATTTAGGCTCTTCAGGGTCTCCCCATGTCAGTGACCGAATCCGAAGATTGAGGGACGAAGCTGTTGGCGTGCGTCGCTGCTGCTTCCACCTCCCAAAGAATCCGTTTTGAGACGTGTGCAACCAATCTAAGCTCTTAGCTCGAAGGGTGTGACGAAAGCCTCGTGATAAAGTAAGACTCCGAGCCCGATTTGCTTGAAGCTTCAGAGTTTGGAGAAGTTAGAGCAGCCGATCACATTCGTGTGTTCAGGTCCCCCAGCGACTCTAACGCCCCCAGGAGAGAGTACGTTGTGCTGTGCCTTCTTCCCAAGTCCCAACCTTGTACCGAACTTTGGCTAATCCAGCACAAGCACGACAGACCTGTGCAAGAATCCAGGCTCTGCCCGCCAACCAGCGAACAACACTGCCTTCGCATTGGGGCCAAACGTGCCGTCCGCCTTTGCTCGACAGAAACGGGCTGACCTAGGCGCAACTGCAAAGCTCCAGCGAGAGACCTCGGATTCAAAAGGGCAGGATGAAAGGCGTTGCCATTGAACCGTAGCGGCAAGCTACTGTCCAAAGTTCAGGCTTTACAGCGAACCCTGCTTCAAGAAACGACGACCTAACTCCTTCTTGGAATGACCTGATTTCACGCTCCATTCCGAAAAAGAGCTGTATGTGCGCTCTGGTGATCCGGTGTTTCCTCTCAGAAACGCTGTCGAACATGCGTTGCAGCTTTGCAGAGGTGAGGACTTTGTCGTACCGGATTCCTTTCCTTTGCCCTTTTCAGGTGGTCAAGCCAGCGTCAAGAAGAAGACTCGAAGGGTTTATATAACTTATTCTAGGTTTCTGAAGCTTGGGCCCACTCCGGGTTATACTGCCTGAAATGGATCGTTCCTCCGATGACACTCCTGAGTGCATTGCTCGATATGACAAGGCTTTTGGAGATGAAACCAACATTTCGTCTCCACCTGTTGACGATCCTGAGACGCTGTTGTCTTTCGAGCGCTTTGGCTTGCCTGATCTTCCAAAAGAAATCGACCCAGATGATGAGGAAGCAGTTGGAGTAGTGCTTGCTGCTTTGGGTAGATCTGCAGGCAATGAATCCGGACCAGAGCCTTCATGCAGGTCCGTTTGTAGAAGCCTTGCCTGCCTTTCGGCATCAGAAACCTGGCGCGGTGATCCTTTCTGAGTTTTGCTGCGCCGGATTCCATGATTGGACGCATGGGCCAAGAACTAGGTGTTCAGGTAATTTGGTTGTGCCGTGAAAGCATTGATTTTGAGGATGATTTGGCCACTGATCAGCTCATCCACCAAGTCAGTGCGACTCCAGGATGCTGTCTTCATGGATCTCTTGAGTGCGGTCCGTGGTATGCTTGGTCCCGCGTGAACTTAGCCACTAAGCCAGGATCTTGAGAAGCTTACCGCTGAAAGGGAGAAATCCCGGAAGTTTCTGTTGCAATTCACTCGAGTTGCCGCGCGAGTCATACGTCAGGGAGGTGAAGTAAGTTTCGAGTCGCCAAGAGACGCTGCTGGTTGGTCCTTGCCTGAGATCATTGCTTTTGTTGATCAATTCAATCTTCTCACCGTTGAGTTCCACGGATGCGCTTTCGGACTTGTGTCCCTGTGTGGTATCGACGTGCAAGGCTGCTAGCAAGCCATTCTCAAGCAGCAGCCTGGCGCCAACAGATTCGATTGTCTGCCATGCTGTTAGCATCGGCGGTGAACGCATCACATAACAAAAGGGTGTTTGCAGAAAAGTCAAAGGATTCCCTCGAAGACCTAGTTTTCCTCACCAAATGAACCAGTTGCAAGACCGGCTGCGAACACTCCCCATGCTTGGATTCCGCCTTCCGTGGTTGCATACCGTTCAACTGGACATCAGCCCCGTTCTGTTCCATGCTTCGCGACGTTGGAAAGGAGAACATAATTTCGACGGTGCAGCACGATTCACTGAGCTTCCTTATTGGTGAGCCCTGGCGCACCAGTAAAGAGGTGTCGCCCGAAACGGCCACGTGGATGCATGATGAGAACGCCATCACTCCTTGCGTTACGGATGTTGAACTTCTCACCTTAGGGGCCAGGCCAGCATGTAAGCATTGCACGCGGAATGTTTCGAGAACCCTTGGCATGATGGGTGTGGTGCCTGGCACATTGCGCTGCTTCAAGAAAAATCCAAGCCGCCAACGTATTTTGTCATCCCTTGCAGAACTCGAAGTAGTGAGCTCCATTGGCAGGTTTGTCAACCATTCTCTGGGTTATCCAGGGCCATCCGAGTATTCAGCAAAAACCCTGAGGCCAAAGCTGTCGAGGTACTGGCCTGTGGTTCGGTTCTTCAGAGCAAATTGCTTCTTCATTTGCTCTATTACAGGGCCTGGCAAAGGCCCACCGCTTTCAATCGCGCACATGCCTCATCCACGACACTGCGGTCAGCACCATTTAAGCCGTAGTAAGGATGGTACACAGCGTCATACTTGTAAAACATGGCTTCTTGGTGTTCATTGCCATCGGGAGTTGTAGATGCTCCAGAAGAGTCAGAAAGGCCTCGCCAAAAAAATATCGAACATTTTCATGTCGGTTTTCTAGATTCGTACTTGTGCCGTCCTGGAGCCTTCAGGGGCCTCCAAGGTTTGCGGGGGTTTTCTGAAGGCTTGTTAACGGGCGGAGCCGCTAGATTAAAAACCCTGAAATTTGGGGCCTGAAAACAAGCTGCCAAGCTTGGTGACTCAGCAGCGCTGCGTCTGCCATGTCGCCCTACCCAAGACAGGGTAAAACATGAAGCGTCAAGGCCGTCGCCCATGTGGGCGATGCTTTAGTGTTACAAGCTCTTCAGGCATTTGGCCCCCTGCGCAGGACAAGGGCCATCTGGGCCTGTTTTGTTTGAGCTTTTTGAGAGGTTGCCTTCCAGCTTAGGGGGCACCAAAAAAGAGGTGAGAATGTGGCAGGTTCTGTTGAGATGTTGCATCCGGCTCAGTGTTGTTAATCTTTGCTTGATGCGCAGCCCAACTAGTCAAACCTAAACCCAGTGAAACTATTCATGAACCTCATGGTCTAGAGTTTTTTTCTTGTTGAGTTTTGGGCAAGTCTCGATTTCAACATGCTCCACTTCGGCATCTGTTAGCTTTGCAAGCAAGATCCGACAAGGACCACACGACATGGAAAAATCCGTAGCAGTTTTGTGCAAGGGCTTCTATCCCGTGGTGCTCCGGCCGACGGAAAACATTTCACAGTGGAGAAACGAGCTTAACCTGCATCTGCGTGACGTCCCTGACGTTGGATTGCACCTGCAAGAGCAAGCTGAATTCCGACCATTCAGCCCCAGTTGCCAAAGAATACGATCATCCCCTGCAGCAGTGGCTTTCCGATTATGTATGGTATATCGCCTGATTGTTACTGTTACCAAAATGTAGAATCTGAACGCGCCGCTTTCCATCAGCTCAGCCTTGGGCAAAAGAAGTTTTGAGAGCAGTCTTTCCCATGCAGTCCAAGGTGTGCTTGGTGCTGTTGCTGTGGCCCAAGAGCCATTGTCCAAGGAGCTGATCCTGCCATTGTGAACCTGCTGCTCCGCTGTGTAGTGATGAATGTGATGTTGGGCGCTGCGAACCGTCAAGATGCTGTCGTGAGATGGTTACTCCTTCTCTCTGCCAGTGTTCTGGTGCTCGGCGTGACTAGCATTTTCACACTCCAGTTCGGTATGCTGAAGGCCAACACTTGCCTAGCGGAGAGTATGCAGAGCTCCGATGCGACCCGCTACACAGCCCTGGGCAAATGGAGCGATGCCCCCAAAGCCATGCCTCTAAACTGGTACGTCTGCGAGAAGCCGCCAAATGTCACCGAGTGTGCAAAAGGGTGGATTCCTCATGCAGCAGGCTGCTACCAGGTGATCTGCGACTGGAAGAGCTTTGACGGAGCTGAGGCGGGCTGCGTCCAGCGCGGTGCGCACCTGGCAAAGATCGACTCAGAGGAAGAGAACAAATTTGTCCAGAGCCTTTGCGGTTGGGAGTCGTGTTGGATCGGACTTAGCCAGGACCCGCAAAGCAACGAATGGCTCTGGCCTGATGCTACTTCCATCGGGCGCGCACCTGGCTTCATTGGGTTCACGAACTGGAACAAGCCGGGGCCTACCTCTGGCCGTGGCCGTGCCGCCTTCATGAACCACTGGGGCCGCTTGGACATGCCCGAGCCCATGGTGAAGCAGGAGGGATCAACAAGCCGAAAAGTAGAACTTGTCAAAGTACAGAACTATGACGAAACCGTTAGCTTTACCCGTGTTACGAATTACGAATGCTGTAAAATATGTTGTGTTCAAACCTGTTTTTGTTCACAACTCCTCTTGTGTTCAAATCTGTTGTGTTCATCCCTTCGTGGGATGGGCTCCTCGAAATCTGTCGCTGTGTTTTGGTTCTGGATGGGGTCCTGCAGTGCTGAAAAGTTCAGATTCGGTCGCTTGGCTAGGGTGATTCACGATAGCAAGCCCGTAGCCAGAACGACTCACAAAGCTGCACGCCGTACATCCGCTCGAGTCGCGAGTTTGTCAAACCCGTTTTCCGTTAGTACGGCCGTCGCTCGCCGCCCAAACCCTTTTCCTCAACTCTGATTCTGTATTCCTTAATCTTGAGTGTGTGTTTGTGTAAGCACTGTAAAACGGTAAGGGCTTCAACACAAACGACAACAATTTTAGATGCAAGCAATTGGTAACGGTTCCGTTTACACAGGGGTGGGCTTCTGTGTCAATGTAGAAGGTCCGAGTCTGTGCTTTTGATCAGATGAGCAGGCCTATTGCGGGAGGCCACGCAGCAGGCCGCAGGGCCATGGCAATTGGTACGGCACGGACCCAGATTGGGAGCTGCCCGCCTTCATCTGCAAGCGTGCCGCCGATCCGTGTCCCAGCGGATGGACGACGCGCGGTGTGCAGTGCTACATCAAGGTCTGCCAGCAGGCGAATTTCAAGGCTGCGGAGTCCTGGTGCCAAGCCCACGATGCCTCACTGGTCACCATCCAGGACGAGCGTGAGAACCACTACGTGGCACAGTTTTGTGGCCTTGACACGTGCATGCTGGGCCTGTCCAGGGCACCTGGCGCAGACAATTGGCAGTGGGTCGACGGCAGTTCCGTGGGCATGAAGTATCAATGGCAGGGCTTCACCTACTGGGCTGAGGGCGAGCCAGACGTCATGGGCCGCAACACCGACCGCGTAGCAGTGATGAATTCCATCACCTTGGAGGAAGCCTTTGTGCACAATGAGCTGATCCGGCCTTCATTCTGGGGCTGGACCTTGGTCCAGGTCCTTGCACCTGTCTCACTGGCGGTTTTGGTGGTCTTTGTCGGGCGGAAGAACAGCAGCTGTGGGGCGCAGCTGGCAAACTGGGTCGTTGGTGCTGGTGTCGTGGCGCTGGTCGTGCAGATCTTTGGCTTTCTCAGGCTGCTGACAGCCTCACACGCCAACTGGCCATCGGGAGTCTTCAGCATGATGGTCCTCGTTGTCATCTTGACTTTCGGCCAGCTCGCCCTGTGCCTTTTCGCTTCAAACAAGACGCAGGAGCTCCGATTCATGACCACGCGCCCCTACAACTCGATGGGCGCACGTGAAGTGGGCGACACCGAGGCATCCCGGGACATTGCTCTCACGTCGCCGGCTGCGACACACTAATTTTGGAGTCAAGAACACAATCCCCAGCAGGAGTCCCAGAAGTGGGCTCTTGGGGTGCGCTCCCTAACTTATGTTCGCCATCTTCCGGGATCTCCGTGGGCAGCGTTTCAATGCCAGGAGGGTTCCCAGGTTCCCCTTTGTAGTAGTATGGAGTAGTTGCACCGGAAGGGCAAATTATTCAACCCCCAGAGAGTCGGCCAAGATTTGTCGGAGCTGCTTCACAGAGGAAACTATGCTCCTTTGATCTCTTTTGCGTAGCTTGTTCATTGCCCAACCTGTGTACCAAGTCAGGCCCGGGAATGAGGATGAAGATGTGAGAAGAGTCTGGCCGATGGCGCGATTCTGATTTCTGAGCGCGTTCCCAGCATTTGGCTCGTGCTGTGCTGTGACTAGCTCCCGGACTTGCTTGCCGAAGCATCGTGGACCAACGAATCATCAAGGCACAGGAAGCTCCATGGCGCCTTCCGATTGCCGCTTGGAGTTCTGTCCAGTCCTTCCTGTCACAGCAGGCGAGGGAATGGCACATCATCCTCCCAGTCAAGTTTCTCCGAGGACACGTCGGGGTGTGGCGAAATTAGGCCTGAAATGCTTTTAAAATTATGTATAAGTTGTGCTTAATACTGCATTGCAACATTACAAATGTTAAATTTATTATAACGTTTTTGAAATGATTCAGTTGTATTATATTGAGAATTTTTGTACTATAGTATATTATGGTTTTTTACATTCTGCCACATTACTTATTCATAGTATGTAATATCAGAAGACTTTTCTATATTGGATTTTGATATTCTATTCTGTGCTAGTATATTGTGTGATTTTGTATTTCTCTATATTGCGCCACTTCACGTTCTCAATTTTTACACTAGTCAACGTTTTCAGTTGTTTCTACCTCTTATGATTACATCTATTTTTCGATTTTGTTGACAAGTTGATGATGTGCTTTTGTATATACATATTATGTGGCATTGAATCGTTTTGATACCACATAGAATGATACGACATTGTCTGGCATGATAAGTAGTATTGCATTCTGTTTTAAGATATATTTTTTCGCATCATTCTGTATTTTGCACTGTTCTTGTGTAATCTGCATCACAGCCGCCTCGGGTGTGCAGGCTGGCCTGCCTGGCCCTAGGCGTGCTCGCTGTCGGGAGGCTGGATCTGCCCCACGATGCCTATGGGGCCCATCGTTCCCTTGTTTGAGCCGTTCTTCCTCGGCTGTCGCACACGTACCCAAAGGTTCATCGGGGACGATGCCTTCTCGCCTGGTGCCCAGATGAGCCCAAATGAGCCCAGATGAGCCCAGATGAGCCCAGATGAACCCAGCAGCCTGAATCTCCGAATTGGGGAGATGTGAGACTGCGCTGGAACTGACCGGCTTTGAGGATGGCGAGGCGTGCTCCACCAGTACGTGACTTGCGCAGCTTGAAGGAGGACCTTGGGCGCCGCATGCCATCAGAGGCTGAGAATGGCTCACCAGCTGATGTTGAACACCATGTGATGCCGGACACCGGTGGCTTTATAGCCGCCTTGTGAACATTTGTGTTATGATCAGGCCACGATTGCGGCACTCGAGGGAATAAGGCCAAAGCGCATTGCTGGGTGCCGAGAATGGTTGCGCACGGTAGCACTGTGCCTTGGCATCCCTCGGCCAGCTTCAAGTGGTGCCTGAGCTGTAGGTTTCCTCGATGCGAGACCTGCAAGGCACGTGGCATGCGACCACCCCCGAGGACAGCTTTTCGGTGGATGATGCTGAATGAATTTGGGGCTTCCCGGGCCTGCTTTGGCTTCATGTCACATTCGGAATCAAATCGACCCCTGGGAATGTGCTGCGCGTTGTACCACGCAAGGACGACTCTCCACCAAGGTCCTGGCCTTTGCTGGCACAAATTTTGCATGGCACCCTGCAGTTCGTAGCGTATTTCCAACATGGATCTCTTCATAACTCTACAACCAAGCCGTCACTCAGCTCTGAGTGGACGCACGAGTTTGGAAGGCCGCTCTGCCCATTAGTAGCATGTAGTCTCGAGAGCCAAGTTCACGTCGCGCCCGCGCGGCTAGTTACAAGCATTCTCGAGGTACGAACGTTTGACCTGTGTTAAGGCTCGAGATGGAAAAACACGCAATCAGTTCCCAAAGATAGTGGAGAGGCTTCGAAAGCTTGGAAACCCCCAAGGTCAGGCCCCAAAAGTAAGAACCCCACACAAAGATGTGGGGCAAAAAAAAAGGACATGAAAGCCGAGACCATGGCTGAGAGTTGGAGTTCACAACGAAGGAAAGAAACCAAGTTCACCACTTTTAGTTCGAATGTTTCCCGTCCCACATCTTCCTTCGGGCTTAGGGCTTACATGGGGCTTACCACCCAGCATCCCGAAAACTGGGTTGTAGAGCTTGTCTCAGAACATCGCCTTTGCAGGTTTGAGGGCTTTCCAATGCATGGAGACGTTCCGCGCATGCTGCTGAGCTTGTACGCAGGGGACATGGGAAGGAGCGCAGTGTGCTGGCAGCCCCAAAAGCCACAGTATCCACGCAGCTTGCAGAGACTTGCAGAGTAAAGTGCAACGGCACAGGATGCTGAACATGGAAGTCGTTGCTGCTCCCGTGCTGCACATCACTGGGGACGGGCGAACCTCAACGGCGACAAAGCTTAGGCAGCTCGTGGCATGCTCTCAGCTGCACACCCATGATGTCACATGATGTCACTGCCAGGTGGGGTCAGCAGCAAGACGAAATCACTCTCCAAGGCAGGCTGGAGCTGATTGGCTCCAATCTCCTCCGGGAGGCCAGGGTGAGATGTCCACATCGAAGTCATTCGCAAACATGGTGGAACAGACAGCTGAACTTCGGACTGATGGAGACTCGACACAAGTTCTCCACACAGACGCAGGCGCGCGTGCACGCTTACACGCACCCACGCGCGCAGGCACCCACGCACACTCGTGCGCACGCACACCTGTACTTTTGCACACCCACACGTGCTGCACGCCGCGCGCAACCCCGCGCAACCCCGTGCCTCCGCGCCTCCGCGCCCCCGCACCCCTGCACCCCGCACCCCCGCACTCGCTCCGGCTCGTTTTGGAGCCCCCCCGCCCCGCTCCTTCGCAATTTTTGTTCGTCTGGCCAATGAGGGTTGGAGTTGGAGAAGACTTTAAGGGTGGCAGAAAAAGAGGTTCGCAGAGTCAGTGGAAGATTTCCGAAAGGGAAGGGGGCTTACAAAGAGGTTATCGGTTTTGTTCCGTCAGATGCCGCAAACGATGAGATCAGATGCGTTGAAGCTAACATTGCGCCTGCCTGAGATTCGCCAACTGAAGTGTATGTGGGCCGCTGTCAGCATGAATTTGCACGGTGCTGTGTTAGTGCTGCCCTACTGAGGCCTGCCCTACAGAAACGCAGGGAGGTGAGAATCACGTGACCACCTGCCATGTCGCGCTTAGTGTGTGAGGCATTCATTCATTGGCACAGAGACACTGTAGAGGACTTGCCACCCAGTTGAGAGATTTTTGAGAGGTACTTTGACGGTACCCTTCTGATCTTGCGGGATGCACGTGGCGTCGTGGACATGCTTTGGCGCGAGGCGGAGGGCTTGTCCGGCATTGGTGATGTTTCCAGTCTGTGGCAGAGCTTCAGATCCCAGGTTGCCCGAATATGTTAAATCTCAAGACGCACGAGTTAAGTGTCCGAACATGTCAGAACGCCACAGCTCAAAAAGCTCAAAGCCAGTAGGAAGAGCCGGAGATGGACAACATGCAGGTGCAGCGCGCAGGCCGGTTCGGGAGGTGAATGTACTGTAGGACTGCAGGGAATCTCCCCGCCGAACAGACGCATGCAGAGGCCGAATATCAGTTGACTTACCTGCCTGAGAGCATGCTGGTGGCTGTTGGAGCTTCCCGCGATGCTGTTGGCATCGTTTTTCAACATTGGGATGGTCCAGTCGTATTCGTTCACGAGATGTCGCGAGCGAGGGCTGGCAGTATTGGGGATCTGTACCGAGATTGCCAAGGGTCAACTCCCTCTTCTTCCTCCGTTCCTGGCTCTCTGGATTCGGCTGGTTCGACTCTACAAGCAAACAACAGTCAGCTTCGGCTCCTCCGTGGAGGCAGCGCACGCGCTGGGCACAAGGCCCCGAACTTGATGCGTGCTTGGCTTTGCTACCTCTTGTAGTACTATAGGTGCGACTTCCAGGATTTCATTCGTTGCATCCTGTGATCGGATATCATGCATGGCTAACTGTTCACGGAAAGATTTTCTAGTTTCAAGATGTGCTTGGAAGTCCTCGCTACTGCTTCATGCCAAGGTTGATGTCAGCATGAACCTCTCCAATGTCTGAAGTTCACATGGTTCGTGGGCTACGCCAGTAGTGACGATAAGGTTGGGTTGGGGATTATCGGGACGGGCAAGAAACCTCAAGTCAAAAGCAGAGCATTGTGCCACACAATGCCACACACCTGGCACTCCACTCCCGCTTCTGCACAGGCAAAGAAGGTTGATCGGAGTGTCAAGCGCTCAGACTTGCTCAGAGGTAGCCCGGGTTGGCAGAAGTTTAGGATCTTGGCACCAGCACGCTCGCGAAGTATAAAAGGTGTCCAGGTGTTTAGCAGCTGTACAAGAAGTTGGTCGCGCGTATATACCGAAGGCGTTCTTCGTGTTCGGTCATCTTTCTGGTTGGTTTTTTTTTGGGTGCTGGAATCCAAGAATTCCCAAGATTGCCAAGTCCCTTCCTGTGATGTCCCGTTGTGACTTAACGTGCACATTGCCATAGCTCTGGAGAGGCCTGGGAGGCGGCACGCCTGGAGAGGCCGAAGTTGTCATCCGGATTGTGAGCATCAGAGCGACCTTTCATATTGGTGCCTTAAGCTGCCTTGGTGGTAATGAAATATGTGGTAAATACTTTACTCGCAAATGCACCCTTGTCGCGGAGGGCGCTCGGGCGGAATGAGCGGCGCTATGACCTGCTGAATCGTCGCCTGCAGTGGGTCACAAGCAACTTCCTGGAGGCCAAACCAGGGTTGGAGCCAACAGCTTCCTGCATCAATGACCACATTGTGCATCCAACGTGCTCTTTCTGTGTGTGTGTGTGTGTGTGTGTGTGTGTGTGAAAAGGACTGCCTGGAGTTTTTCCCAGCTGCCACTACACAGCCTGATTGTTCAACAGCCTTCCAGATGCTTTCCTATCGGTCCTGAATGTCAAGTCACTTCCTGTGACACTCTCCACGGGCTATCTGAGCATGGCTTGCCAGCAGATGTCCGTAGCTTGAGGCTGAAGCTACGAAGACATCCGGAAGCTGGCACGTGGCCTCCCTGAAGAGGCTCTCCGACGTTTGTGCCCAGAGTGCATAGCTGCATCGCGGTTACCAGCCTCTGCTTACCTCGCCCCTTCCCATGCTGCAGGGCCTTCGAGCGCATGGGCCGGCGCAATGACCTGCTACAGCGCCGCCTAGAGTGGCTGGTTAGCAACTCCCCGAAGGCACGATGCCATGTTAGAAGTTCATCGCAGGGGGTCCGGAAAGCATGACTTGCCAATACTTGCTGCATACGTGGTGCGCTTCGGCTGTTCAAGGTATCGGACATGCTTCGACTGAATCCATTGGTGTTTTGAGCTGTCATCTTCCCCATCAGGGACGTGGAAGCTTGTGTTTTTCAGAACTTGATTGCACGTGCGTGGCTGTCGTGAGGTGAACACGCGCGTCGCACCCCTGGAGAGGCTTCTTGCCATGACAGACTTGACTTGATGACGTGCTTGCACGTGGTTGCCTCTGTCCTTGACCCCCTTTCCATCTCGGAAGCTGCAGGGCGCTCAGGCGCATGGACCAGCAGAAAGACCTGCTCCAGCGCCGCTTGCAATGGCATGTGGGCAGTTCCCCCAAGGCCTGGCACATGCTCGTGGCTTCGGCCTAGCAGGCCTAGCAGGCCTAGCAGGCCTAGCATCGAACAAGATGGGGAATGTGCTGCTGGAGATTAGTGGAGAACGCATCGCTTGCATTCTAGTGAGGGCTTTTTGTTTTCATGCTGTGTAGTCGGGCATTAGTAAGCCGGAAAAAAGCACGGGAAGCAGGGATGGGAGGGAGGGAAGGAAGGAAGCAAGGAGGGACAAAAGCGAAACTTTCTTAGCAGCCTCGCAAGCCGTGCGGTGTGCTCTGTGTTTGTGTCACTCACAAAGACTAGGCGCGCCAACTCGAAAGGCACTACGAATCCTAACGTATGAGACCCGCGAAGCTTGAGGAGGTCAGGACGACTCCCAGAATCCCAAGAGTTTTGGAAGGGAGGCCTGCGAGAAATATTGGGAGCGCTTTGCAGCCATGGTGAAGCAGCTGTCCAGCCCCTCCCTGTTTAGGTAGGTGGTGGTTGGTGGTTGTGGTCGTTGCGGGCAGGTGCTTTGGCTAATTGTTTTATGTTGATGCTGGTGCATCTGTACTTGCTTTGAAGGTTGGTATAGTGCCACGGCTGGTACGGAAGACAGCCGTACAACGCAACATGTGAACCTTGCACAGGCGAGGAAGAGCGATCGCGATGTCAAGCGCCCAGAGGGGAGCGCGGTGCGGGGTTGGCACAGCATGGTAGAATACTGGGATGCATTTGTAGTAGGCCTGCGAGATTCTTGGCGTATCGATTTTGGACCCAGCTTGCGAAACTTCTACGTAGTCAGCTGCACATTCCTCAAGGTTTTAGACTCTCAGGTGTGTCGCATGCCCTTCCCTTCTGTGACCTTCAGATGTCCTTCAAGGCAAAATGGCACGCGAAATCCCTGGAGAGGCTCTCGGGTGTGTGCGTGGTTTCAAAAGACTCTTCATCGTTTGCTTCTACCGATTTCGGGTGCCCAGCAGACCTCGGCGCAGGGCGCTCGGGCGCATGGACCGGCGCAATAACCTCCTGCAGCGTCGCATGAGTTGGGTCCTGGGCAATGAGCAGGCCCGGACACTTTTCCAAACTAATCACAACTGCATTCCGCACAACACGGAACGCCGTTGATGCATGTCGGGGTATCAATGTGTTGTCATCGGAAGTTTCAATGCATCACGATGCCGGTTGAAATAGGAGGTGGATGCCCAAAGCTTGGTAAGGCTTGAGAGATCCAGGTGCAGCTCGCAGGGTACAGTCAAGGAAAGAGACTTGCCATGTGAACCTGGCACAGGCGCGGAAGAACAATCGCAACGTCCAGCACCCAGATTGAAGCGGGGTGTGGGCTGGTAAAGCAGGGTAGAGCATTAGCTCCACGCGGCTGTCAGCTGTTAATCATAATCAGGTGTGTGCCGTCAAATTTTAAGAATCAACTATAGACCTTTGTCGGCGATGCGAAATGGGCTTCCTCCGCAGCACGCATAAAGTTCCGAGACATCTTCCAGGTGTGTCTATTCACAATAAGGTGGAAGCCTTCACAGAAATTTGCTCACTTTCTGTCAGAGTTATTGAACGCTCAGGAGCATCCATTCAGGTAAGGCGATGACATTTTTTTAATGCCTCTTGAAAGTTCATTGCAGGTTAGATGCAGGTATAGTGATACCCTCTGGAGCATCTGGATAACGACATGTCTCGACTTGCGTTCTTAAGTTTGGGTCGGAAGTGGCAGTTGTTGTTCAGTGCTATCGTACCATGTACGTGGGACCTATATGTGCGGGGAAGGGAGCAAAAACACAAAACCACAACGAGAGAGAAATGGCTGGTGCCGGTCTTGGCCCGGTGTTGGGGACCTGATAGGCTAGCGCTGCTTCAAATACATAGAACGGGCGTGAAGGGGCATTTATCTGAGACTTGTACTACCAATTGACCCGCGGGTTTTGCTTGTTTTGAGGTCCTTCGGGGCGGGGGGGGGGTTGGTTTCGACCATGTGTAACCATGCTCAAAAACAATTTACAGCGTTTTGGCTCCTCTATACAAAATGCTGCACCAGGATGTTTGCCGTTTCTGGAACAAGACGCACTGTGCCAAACCTTCTGCGAACATGCTTCAGCGTGTTTGCCTTGTATAGAAATATTGCAAGAGTATGTTTCATGTTTCCTCAACTAGACACACTGTCACAACTATTCATGCCTTTGGCGAACATGCCGCAAACACTGCTATTCCCAGTGTTCTGCCTGATTCTACAACATACAAGACCGCGGCCACAAACCTTCGCAAACTATGATGCAGCCGAAAACCGCAAGAATCCCTAAGCTTCAAAAACTGAGAACATGCCAATATATCCGGAAAACCGTGAAGACGTGTTTGCGAACGACCATCAGGCCTTACACCAAAACGTGATTTTCGCCTCGGTAAAAAAACACAAAACTCAAGCAAACATTGGCAAGAAGAAGAGGCCCCAAAACTTATCTCAAGCCGACGTCGTCGCTTTCCGTCGGAAAAACTACCGAAATACCTAAAAACACAGTCCCTGCTAACGCGCGGGTCGTTTCGTGGTGCGTTGCCTTAACCCTCAGCCCTAAACCTTGCAAGCCCGAAGCCCCCCTACACCCCTATCCTTTATCTAGTGCAGCTGGAAGAGAGAACGCCAAGCTCCCATGGTTGTGCCTCCAGATCAGGAATGACTTCATGATCGCTTGTCTCTTCCATGGGATGCTCTCGGTGCTCCGCCCGTGCTGCCTCCGCGAACCGGAACAGGGTTCATGCTACGCAAGGGGCTTTGGATTGGCAGTGTTCATGGTGTTTGCGGTTGTCGCAAGGGAAAAGCCACGATGACAGTCCTGGAGGGCTGGGGACGTGCTCATCTTGCAGAATGTGGTGAGAAAGTTCTCACAGTGAAGGAAAACTGGTTGGCTTTGCACGAACGCAGGCGTGCGGAAAGTCAACGCTGCGCGTGTGGCACACTTTGATAGACTGGAGTAAGAACGCCAAGTAGCAGTAAGGCTCGCGAGGTCCATGTTCCAGTTGTTCAAGAGCAGCAGAAAGACAGGAACCCCAAGCCCTAGCCGCAAGAGTTGGGTTCTTGGGAGTTGAATAGTAACAGCAAAGAGACACGTCAAACAATGCAGAAAGGTCCTTCCTGCATCGTACTTTTGCATTCGCAGAAACTGTCCGCGTATGGTTAGTTGGCAGCTGCGCAACTTGTTCCGAAATCATGCAAAGGTTTTGTCATCCGTGCTCGATATCAAGTCGCTGCCTGCGTAGTTTTTTCGCTGCTTGTAATACTGAGATCGCTGCGACGCTGCCTGGCGAAGGAAGCTGGCACATGGAGTCCTTGGAGAGGCGAGATGTTTTCACCGTCCCATCCAGCCCCATGACCGACTTGGTGCCCAGCCCCATTACCTTTGGTGACATTGCTGTGCGTCCCTGCATGTCAGATTCATCCCAGACTCAGACCCGGCTGTGCAGGGCGCTTGGGCGCAATGAGCGACGCAATGAGCTGCTCAAGCGTCGTCTGCAGTGGCTGGCGGGCAATTTCCCGGAGGCCCTGCTCGGGGCTGAATCTCTCTAGCGCTGTATGACAGTGTCCTGCGCAGCAGCATCGCATCTTGTTCCTGATGTTATCATGGGTTTAGTCCTTGTTCCTGAACTTCAGTTCCTGCCGACTCCTTGCAGTCGTCATTGCGTCACCATCAATGCCCTTGACAGGCCGAATTTGCCACGGGCAAGTCGGTGGCGAAGAGCCATTTGCCATGAATGTCCACGAAGTATGACATTCCCTGTTTGTAGTTGCAGTGAAGAAAGCAGCTGCAATTGCTGTTTTGACTGTCTGTGAATATTGCTATCCTCCGAGAGTGCCAGTAACTACTAACAAGACGTGGCTCGCGTACTTTTATCCTTATGACTCGTGCAGCCATAAGAGGCCCGTCCACTTCGGTGTTCGGAAGCGGCACTTCTGGGAGGCTCGCGGAGTTGCCACAGAATCCATGTTGTATAAAGACTCGCATGAGACTCGAGGTTTAAGAAGGGGAGCCCTCAAGCGTCATGCCGGATCCTGGATTCTCTCGGGGCAACCTCAGACAAAGCCTGCATCTTTCCTGCAAGGCAGAGCCTGACAAGAACCACCAGAAGCCTGTCCAAGGCGCCGAGTCACAGCCACTGAAGGACATATCATGACATAATCGGATGTATCGCATTCCGCATGAGCTGTCCCATCCCCATCGAAGACCATACTTTGGCATCCTTTGTGGTCATGCAAGAGGGTGGGGAGTCTCGTTCGAGAGCAGCCCCGATGGGGCACAGAGGCATGTGCGCCCGAGCATCATCAGCTTTTTTGGTGTTGGGTTTGAAGCTTGCTGCGCCTGCGTGGAAGACTTTGAGACAACCTCTTGCATTGTTTCAGCGCTCGGTGCACGTTGCTCGCCCTTTGTCGTTCCCGAAAAAGTGCCGAAATTAAGCCTTGGAGGCTGCTATTGGGAAGCATCAGGGAGATCGCCAGGTAGGGCCCGGTGGGCCTGTAAAGCGTGCTCCGGCGTGCCACACATGCAGATGCTTCGGCATGGACATGTCCGGCATGTAAGTGCGAGCGCGAGCGCGCGTGTGTGCTCCAGCCCGCGCTCCCACCGCTCTCGCTCGCCATCAGGGTTTGGGGTTAGGGTCCGAGCGTCTTCACAGCTACATGTACGTGCGGTATGTGGGGTGTAGTGGAAGGAAAGGGGTGTAGAGTTGTGGTGTGCGGCAAGGCGGCAAGGTGACACTATCTCATTATCACTCACTCACGCAGTGCAGCATGGCTTGAAGCATGACCGTTATGGTTGTTTCGATTGCTATGACTACCATCGCAAGAACTACAAAGAATATGACGCATACAAAGCCACTAAGTCACTACGACGTTCACAGCTTTTTCGATTGTTTTTGTACCCGGCAGGCTTGGACCCGGCCCTGGACCAAGCGGCGCACGAAGCTGTCGGAAGCGATTTCGAGGCGAGATCCGTGCGCAAACCTACACTGTACGTGCTTGTCCAAGAAACTTTCTAGAGCTCAAGGCTTTGGCTTCGGGATCCTAAATGCTGACTACAGGACCTTGTTTCGAATAGATGAAGGTGCTCCTTTTGAAACCCGGCAACCCTGACAAATGCTGACAGCCCTTACGAGCCTCGGCAGCCTCGACGTCAAAACCCGACATTGACACTGGCAGGCTGGAGGGGGCATTGGATGCTGTCCGGACCAGCACGCAGGCCGGCAGCTTGCAGATCTAGAGAAGAGCAAGGCAAAGTCGGAGGTGTGAAGGGTGGTTTGTCAGGTAGTCCGACGTTTTTGGAGCTCTCGGAACTGCAGTAGAACAGCGTTCTGCAAAGTGTCAGGTAGTCCGACGTTTTTGGAGCTCTCGGAACTGCAGTAGAACAGCGCTGTTCTACAAAGGGCTCTGTCATCTTGGCTCCCAGGTCCAACCCCTGGACCCTGAAACTTAGATGAGCCTAGCCCAGCTTCGTAGTGTCCACTCCAAGGATGTCAGGAACAGGTAGTTCAACGGTATCACCCCCCTAGCGGCCCTAGCGGCCCTAGCGGCCCTAGCGGCCCTAGCGGCCCTAGCGGCCCTAGCGGCCCTAGCGGCCCTAGCGGCCCTAGCGGCCCTGGCAGCTATCGGATCACTGTTTAGCCGTCTGCTGAGGCCCTTCACAATTTCACAACATCGTTTTGGATCGCTTGTTTCTCGCTAGAGCCGCCCAAGGTCCTTGGGGTCGCACGTCCTCCGAGTTGATCCTAACAGGCCACAGGCCTTCAAACTTTGAAGGTGTGGACAAAGCCATTCCTTCCGAACACCTTCTGTCGCGTTTCTGGTGGCTACTCAGCATGAAAATCGCACTGAACATGCGGAGTTTGCCCCCGCACGTACCTGAAGCATTTTCCGTTTTGCCTCACTCCAGAGCTCGATCTCATTGTCAGCTCATGCCGATGCATTCAATCCGGCTTCTTCCTTGGAATTGCACCACGATGTTAGAAGTCAGCGCGAAGTCGGAGACCTACATTGCGATGTGTGAGCTTAAGCGTCACATGGCACACATCCTCGAGTTGAAGCTAGAGGTTGGGGTGCCTCCGGAGGTAGCGTCTTCCAGCCTCCAAGAATGTCGTGGGACATTTCTGAAGGGGGCCCTCTGCCTCGTGGCCGAACCTGGTACTCGCTACCATCTCTGCACCATCTCTGCCTCGCGACAAACAGATGCGCGAGATCCTGCAATCGGGACTCGGTGTGATTGGGTTTCGTCTCGTCCCCGTTTGGCAGATGGCCACAAACAACTTGTTGCAGCAAATAAGCTTTCGGGATCTTCGTCGCGTGGTGTCTTGGGCTCTCGACTTGTCTGCCTCGGAGTTGCTCAATTTGCACGCAGGAACATGCATCTAACAGTTTCAGGTGTCATTCATGTCCAAAGAGCAAGCTCCATCGCGTGCGAGTGTCTTGTGAAACAGCACTAAGCCTTGATGCATTGTCGACCCGGCTCTGTCGACCTAGCCTGCCCGAGCCTAGCCGAGGATAGCCCGCAACTCTACACCCTAAACCCTAAACCCTAAACTAAAAACCTAAACTGCCTAAACCCCTTGTTCCAGGCCAAGGGGCACCGGTCCCGAGCCCAAGATGTCGAAGCTGCCTGCGCCTCTGATGCTTCTGATGGATTCCAACCACTGCCCCCCCTCCCCCCCCCGATAATTGTAAACGCTTGCGCGCGCCGCCGTGGCTTGGCCCCAGAACAGGAAAGGAGGAAAGAGGGTAGGAGGGGGGGGGGTGGGGTGGGGTGGGGGGTGGGTGGGGGGGGGGGGGAGGGGTTTTCGTGCGTTTTGAGGCGCTCTCTCTGTGGGTCCCGCCGAGAGGCGGGACCCTCCACGGCAGCGGTTTGCAGCTCCAAGCGATGAGGGGGGGTCCCACAGAGGGGGGGGGGACAAAATTTTGCATGGGGGAAGGGTTGGGTTAGGGGGAAGGGGTCCAGACGCTTCTCGGCAGGAAGCCGAGGCGAATTAGAAGGCTGTCCGCCGCCCATGCACTGCCATGATATGTTTGCCATGATGTCTTGTGTTTCTGCATCTTCGGAAATGCTTGTGGGAAACTCTGGCAGCTTTGAGCTGCGATGTCAGGCCCTTCATGGGGAGCTGGCGAACTTGCGCAGCGAGCTAAAGGACCTGGAGCAGCACGAGGCCGTTCGTTGGGGATGCTGCATTTTTTCGTGTTGCGGCTTCGGACTACTGTAGCCGCATTGCATAATTGCGGCCTTCGGTCTGCTGAAGCCCGCGGGCTGATTTTCTAAAGGACAGTTCAAGGAGAAAATGGCCTCAGGTGAGGAGCAGCGAGATGGCGAAAGAGCCAAAGATCAGGGTGGCAAAGCAGGTTGGGGGAATCTGGACTGCTGTCGTGGACTATAGTGTGGTTGTCCCGCAGCCCCTTGCAAGCCATGATCTCGTGAAAGAGGCCAAGAAGAGCAAAAGCAAGCGCGGGTTGTGGGCGCTTCCTGCCTGGCTTGGTTCTGGCGAGTAAGGGGTAACAACAGCTGGCGCAGGACATTACATGAATGCTACTAAATGCCGACCCCAAAGCGCAGCAAGGAAGTCTGAAGCCTTGACAGTTCTCAAAGGCTAAGCCGTAAATTCCGACACCCACCCTCGCGCTTCAAAGCTCCTTTTCTGCCAGCCTTTCCGGCGTTGAAGTTCGACATAGTTCGATGCTCCTCAGGCTTTCAGACGGCCCCTTGTTTGCAAGTTTCGCAGCTGGTAGTTGGTAGATGCTCTCGGTACCGGGGGGTTTAGGTGACCATGTTTGCTTGACGGCTTCACACAGGCTCCAGGCGCAAGCGCACCAACGCCGCAGTGTATGCGTGAGCGCTGGTGCATTCTGCCACAAGAGCACTGGATTCCTGGATTACAGTTCCATCATCGGTATTGACTGTAGACATCTGTAGACACTTCATGATTTCAAAGGCTGAGCCCAGCCTGCAGAGGGAAACAAGGGGCGCTGTTCGGAATTGGTGTTTGTTGTGTTGTATGAGGCATTGGAACGGAGGTTGCAGCAGAGTGTGCCCGCAAGTTTCGGACATCTGTGGGCTGAGGCATTTAGATTGTGTCGAAGTTGGGCCCGCCACAGGTGCTGTTTCCAACCCCAGCGACGACTCAAAAGTGTCCAAAAGCCTTGTTTGCGACTGGCGACACTTTTGCGTGCGCCTTCTGTTGATGGAGCTCTGTGGCATGTTAGCCTGATGGGCTTCTGGACTCACTTTCCATGCAGTCAGGCTGTTGTAGATCCCCCAGCGCTTGGAACTAGTGGCCACTTTGGACGCCATGGCTTCCCAGAGTCGTACTTTGCCCGTGCTGGTCGCCGCTGCCTGCTGCGCCGCCGTGCTGCGCAGCTTCTGGGCAGCGAGCCCGCCGACGTTCGTGGCACCGCAGCAGAGTGTCCACATGGGCTGCCAGGCGCTGTCGAGCGGTGCTCTCGCCGCTGGGCAAGTGCCGGCCATCGTGAACACCGTGCCAGCACGCCCAGGAGTCCCGGCACACTTCAAGGTGACCGCGTTCAGTCCATGGCATCTTTTGCTTTTGGACACACGAAGTGCTCTTGTGTCATTCGGTGTTTCTGCGGCCCGTTCGGGCATATCTTTCGCCCTCTACTTGAAGCATCATACAGTATACCATTGGCTTAAACCCTGGTAGAGGCTTTCTCTGGCTCTCTCTTTTCCTGTTTCGGTTCGGCCTCTCCGACAAGCAAGCTTCGTAGTCACTCCTAATGATGCGGCTAGGTGACTCTGGAGACGCCAGATGGCGAGCAGTCCTTCGAATGTCCGGAAGACGTGTACATCCTGGATCAGGCTGAGGAGGAAGGACTCGAGCTGCCTTACTCCTGCCGCGCCGGCTCTTGCTCCAGCTGCGCCGGCAAGGTCCTGTCGGGCGAAATCGACCAGAGTGACCAGGCCTTCCTGGACGATGACCAGATGGGCGATGGCTTTTGCTTCTTTGCTTAGCCAGTAGTGGAAGTTTTGACTTGTTGGGTTCTGTGAACAAGAAATGCGAAAACTTATCCTTTTCGTTCCCTGCTTGTTGGTGTGATGGCACCCGGCCGACAGAGAACTCTCAAAGACTAGTAAGGCTCGAACTGCTTAACTTTTCACTGCCAAAAGTAAGGCCTGACTTGCGTGACTTATGCCACCTCCGATGTGACAATCAAGACCCACTGTGAGGATGAGCTGTAAGGCAGAGGGTGCAAAGTTTTCTGGCAGCAGTGCCTCTTCTCCTATCCAGTTATGCGGGTAGCTACAGATCAGCAGTTCCATCCAGTTCTCACGGCTGGCCTCTAGCCAAGTGCTGGCAAACATGATGTCCTGAGACTGAAAAAGAAGCATCCATTCCAGAGCCACTGCAACCGGTGATGCTTGTTTTTTGATGTGGTTGGTGTACAGCTTGCATGGTCCTCGCAGCCGCACGTGCCTCTGAACATCAGCGCTTGGAACTAGTGGCCACTTTGGACGCCATGGCTTCCCAGAGTCGTACTTTGCCCGTGCTGGTCGCCGCTGCCTGCTGCGCCGCCGTGCTGCGCAGCTTCTGGGCAGCGAGCCCGCCGACGTTCGTGGCACCGCAGCAGAGTGTCCACATGGGCTGCCAGGCGCTGTCGAGCGGTGCTCTCGCCGCTGGGCAAGTGCCGGCCATCGTGAACACCGTGCCAGCACGCCCAGGAGTCCCGGCACACTTCAAGGTGACCGCGTTCAGTCCATGGCATCTTTTGCTTTTGGACACACGAAGTGCTCTTGTGTCATTCGGTGTTTCTGCGGCCCGTTCGGGCATATCTTTCGCCCTCTACTTGAAGCATCATACAGTATACCATTGGCTTAAACCCTGGTAGAGGCTTTCTCTGGCTCTCTCTTTTCCTGTTTCGGTTCGGCCTCTCCGACAAGAAAGCTTCGTAGTCACTCCTAATGATGCGGCTAGGTGACTCTGGAGACGCCAGATGGCGAGCAGTCCTTCGAATGTCCGGAAGACGTGTACATCCTGGATCAGGCTGAGGAGGAAGGACTCGAGCTGCCTTACTCCTGCCGCGCCGGCTCTTGCTCCAGCTGCGCCGGCAAGGTCCTGTCGGGCGACATCGACCAGAGTGACCAGGCCTTCCTGGACGATGACCAGATGGGCGATGGCTTTTGCTTCTTTGCTTAGCCAGTAGTGGAAGTTTTGACTTGTTGGGTTCCGTGAACAAGAAATGCGAAAACTTATCCTTTTCGTTCCCTGGTTGTTGGTGTGATGGCACCCGGCCGACAGAGAACTCTCAAAGACTAATAAGGCTCGAACTGCTTAACTTTTCACTGCCAAAAGTAAGGCCTGACTTGCGTGACTTATGCCACCTCCGATGTGACAATCAAGACCCACTGTGAGGATGAGCTGTAAGGCAGAGGGTGCAAAGTTTTCTGGCAGCAGTGCCTCTTCTCCTATCCAGTTATGCGGGTAGCTACAGATCAGCAGTTCCATCCAGTTCTCACGGCTGGCCTCTAGCCAAGTGCTGGCAAACATGATGTCCTGAGACTGAAAAAGAAGCATCCATTCCAGAGCCACTGCAACCGGTGATGCTTGTTTTTTGATGTGGTTGGTGTTCAGCTTGCATGGTCCTCGCAGCCGCACGTGCCTCTGAACATCAGCGCTTGGAACTAGTGGCCACTTTGGACGCCATGGCTTCCCAGAGTCGTACTTTGCCCGTGCTGGTCGCCGCTGCCTGCTGCGCCGCCGTGCTGCGCAGCTTCTGGGCAGCGAGCCCGCCGACGTTCGTGGCACCGCAGCAGAGTGTCCACATGGGCTGCCAGGCGCTGTCGAGCGGTGCTCTCGCCGCTGGGCAAGTGCCGGCCATCGTGAACACCGTGCCAGCACGCCCAGGAGTCCCGGCACACTTCAAGGTGACCGCGTTCAGTCCATGGCATCTTTTGCTTTTGGACACACGAAGTGCTCTTGTGTCATTCGGTGTTTCTGCGGCCCGTTCGGGCATATCTTTCGCCCTCTACTTGAAGCATCATACAGTATACCATTGGCTTAAACCCTGGTAGAGGCTTTCTCTGGCTCTCTCTTTTCCTGTTTCGGTTCGGCCTCTCCGACAAGAAAGCTTCGTAGTCACTCCTAATGATGCGGCTAGGTGACTCTGGAGACGCCAGATGGCGAGCAGTCCTTCGAATGTCCGGAAGACGTGTACATCCTGGATCAGGCTGAGGAGGAAGGACTCGAGCTGCCTTACTCCTGCCGCGCCGGCTCTTGCTCCAGCTGCGCCGGCAAGGTCCTGTCGGGCGACATCGACCAGAGTGACCAGGCCTTCCTGGACGATGACCAGATGGGCGATGGCTTTTGCTTCTTTGCTTAGCCAGTAGTGGAAGTTTTGACTTGTTGGGTTCTGTGAACAAGAAATGCGAAAACTTATCCTTTTCGTTCCCTGGTTGTTGGTGTGATGGCACCCGGCCGACAGAGAACTCTCAAAGACTAGTAAGGCTCGAACTGCTTAACTTTTCACTGCCAAAAGTAAGGCCTGACTTGCGTGACTTATGCCACCTCCGATGTGACAATCAAGACCCACTGTGAGGATGAGCTGTAAGGCAGAGGGTGCAAAGTTTTCTGGCAGCAGTGCCTCTTCTCCTATCCAGTTATGCGGGTAGCTACAGATCAGCAGTTCCATCCAGTTCTCACGGCTGGCCTCTAGCCAAGTGCTGGCAAACATGATGTCCTGAGACTGAAAAAGAAGCATCCATTCCAGAGCCCGCAACCGGTGATGCTTGCTTTTTGATGTGGTTGGTGTACAGCTTGCATGGTCCTCGCAGCCGCACGTGCCTCTGAACATCAGCGCTTGGAACTAGTGGCCACTTTGGACGCCATGGCTTCCCAGAGTCGTACTTTGCCCGTGCTGGTCGCCGCTGCCTGCTGCGCCGCCGTGCTGCGCAGCTTCTGGGCAGCGAGCCCGCCGACGTTCGTGGCACCGCAGCAGAGTGTCCACATGGGCTGCCAGGCGCTGTCGAGCGGTGCTCTCGCCGCTGGGCAAGTGCCGGCCATCGTGAACACCGTGCCAGCACGCCCAGGAGTCCCGGCACACTTCAAGGTGACCGCGTTCAGTCCATGGCATCTTTTGCTTTTGGACACACGAAGTGCTCTTGTGTCATTCGGTGTTTCTGCGGCCCGTTCGGGCATCTCTTGCGCCCTCTACTTGAAGCATCATACAGTATACCATTGGCTTAAACCGTGGTAGAGGCTTTCTCTGGCTCTCTCTTTTCCTGTTTCGGTTCGGCTTTTCCGACAAGAAAGCTTCGTAGTCACTCCTAATGATGCGGCTAGGTGACTCTGGAGACGCCAGATGGCGAGCAGTCCTTCGAATGTCCGGAAGACGTGTACATCCTGGATCAGGCTGAGGAGGAAGGACTCGAGCTGCCTTACTCCTGCCGCGCCGGCTCTTGCTCCAGCTGCGCCGGCAAGGTCCTGTCGGGCGACATCGACCAGAGTGACCAGGCCTTCCTGGACGATGACCAGATGGGCGATGGCTTTTGCTTCTTTGCTTAGCCAGTAGTGGAAGTTTTGACTTGTTGGGTTCTGTGAACAAGAAATGCGAAAACTTATCCTTTTCGTTCCCTGGTTGTTGGTGTGATGGCACCCGGCCGACAGAGAACTCTCAAAGACTAGTAAGGCTCGAACTGCTTAACTTTTCACTGCCAAAAGTAAGGCCTGACTTGCGTGACTTATGCCACCTCCGATGTGACAATCAAGACCCACTGTGAGGATGAGCTGTAAGGCAGAGGGTGCAAAGTTTTCTGGCAGCAGTGCCTCTTCTCCTATCCAGTTATGCGGGTAGCTACAGATCAGCAGTTCCATCCAGTTCTCACGGCTGGCCTCTAGCCAAGTGCTGGCAAACATGATGTCCTGAGACTGAAAAAGAAGCATCCATTCCAGAGCCACTGCAACCGGTGATGCTTGTTTTTTGATGTGGTTGGTGTACAGCTTGCATGGTCCTCGCAGCCGCACGTGCCTCTGAACATCAGCGCTTGGAACTAGTGGCCACTTTGGACGCCATGGCTTCCCAGAGTCGTACTTTGCCCGTGCTGGTCGCCGCTGCCTGCTGCGCCGCCGTGCTGCGCAGCTTCTGGGCAGCGAGCCCGCCGACGTTCGTGGCACCGCAGCAGAGTGTCCACATGGGCTGCCAGGCGCTGTCGAGCGGTGCTCTCGCCGCTGGGCAAGTGCCGGCCATCGTGAACACCGTGCCAGCACGCCCAGGAGTCCCGGCACACTTCAAGGTGACCGCGTTCAGTCCATGGCACCTTTTGCTTTTGGACACACGAAGTGCTCTTGTGTAATTCGGTGTTTCTGCGGCCCGTTCGGGCATATCTTTCGCCCTCTACTTGAAGCATCATACAGTATACCATTGGCTTAAACCCTGGTAGAGGCTTTCTCTGGCTCTCTCTTTTCCTGTTTCGGTTCGGCCTCTCCGACAAGAAAGCTTCGTAGTCACTCCTAATGATGCGGCTAGGTGACTCTGGAGACGCCAGATGGCGAGCAGTCCTTCGAATGTCCGGAAGACGTGTACATCCTGGATCAGGCTGAGGAGGAAGGACTCGAGCTGCCTTACTCCTGCCGCGCCGGCTCTTGCTCCAGCTGCGCCGGCAAGGTCCTGTCGGGCGAAATCGACCAGAGTGACCAGGCCTTCCTGGACGATGACCAGATGGGCGATGGCTTTTGCTTCTTTGCTTAGCCAGTAGTGGAAGTTTTGACTTGTTGGGTTCTGTGAACAAGAAATGCGAAAACTTATCCTTTTCGTTCCTTGGTTGTTGGTATGGCACCCGGCCGACAGAGAACTCTCAAAGACTAGTAAGGCTCGAACTGCTCAACTTTTCACTGCCAAAAGTAAGGCCTGACTTGCGTGACTTATGCCACATCCGATGTGAAAATCAAGACCCACTGTGAGGATGAGCTGTAAGGCAGAGGGTGCAAAGTTTTCTGGCAGCAGTGCCTCTTCTCCTATCCAGTTATGCGGGTAGCTACAGATCAGCAGTTCCATCCAGTTCTCACGGCTGGCCTCTAGCCAAGTGCTGGCAAACATGATGTCCTGAGACTGAAAAAGAAGCATCCATTCCAGAGCCACTGCAACCGGCGATGCTTGTTTTTTGATGTGGTTGGTGTACAGCTTGCATGGTCCTCGCAGCCGCACGTGCCTCTGAACATCAGCGCTTGGAACTAGTGGCCACTTTGGACGCCATGGCTTCCCAGAGTCGTACTTTGCCCGTGCTAGTCGCCGCTGCCTGCTGCGCCGCCGTGCTGCGCAGCTTCTGGGCAGCGAGCCCGCCGACGTTCGTGGCACCGCAGCAGAGTGTCCACATGGGCTGCCAGGCGCTGTCGAGCGGTGCTCTCGCCGCTGGGCAAGTGCCGGCCATCGTGAACACCGTGCCAGCACGCCCAGGAGTCCCGGCACACTTCAAGGTGACCGCGTTCAGTCCATGGCATCTTTTGCTTTTGGACACACGAAGTGCTCTTGTGTCATTCGGTGTTTCTGCGGCCCGTTCGGGCATCTCTTTCGCCTTCTACTTGAAGCATCATACAGTATACCATTGGCTTAAACCCTGGTAGAGGCTTTCTCTGGCTCTCTCTTTTCCTGTTTCGGTTCGGCCTCTCCGACAAGAAAGCTTCGTAGTCACTCCTAATGATGCGGCTACTCGTAGGTGACTCTGGAGACGCCAGATGGCGAGCAGTCCTTCGAATGTCCGGAAGACGTGTACATCCTGGATCAGGCTGAGGAGGAAGGACTCGAGCTGCCTTACTCCTGCCGCGCCGGCTCTTGCTCCAGCTGCGCCGGCAAGGTCCTGTCGGGCGAAATCGACCAGAGTGACCAGGCCTTCCTGGACGATGACCAGATGGGCGATGGCTTTTGCTTCTTTGCTTAGCCAGTAGTGGAAGTTTTGACTTGTTGGGTTCTGTGAACAAGAAATGCGAAAACTTATCCTTTTCGTTCCTTGGTTGTTGGTATGGCACCCGGCCGACAGAGAACTCTCAAAGACTAGTAAGGCTCGAACTGCTTAACTTTTCACTGCCAAAAGTAAGGCCTGACTTGCGTGACTTATGCCACCTCCGATGTGACAATCAAGACCCACTGTGAGGATGAGCTGTAAGGCAGAGGGTGCAAAGTTTTCTGGCAGCAGTGCCTCTTCTCCTATCCAGTTCTGCGGGTAGCTACAGAGCAGCAGTTCCATCCAGTTCTTACGGCTGGCCTCTAGCCAAGTGCTGGCAAACATGATGTCCTGAGAATGAAAGACAGAGCACGCAGAATTCTCAGCAGCAAAGAAAAAGTTGGAATGGTTGCTGCGTGGTGGGACATGTAGGGATGTAAGCACGGGGGCTAGGCTGCTGCATTCGTGAATGACTTGTTGTGAACATTGGTCGAGTGTTTCCATGTTAACGATGTGTCCTCGCTGGCCACAACAAGCTCGTCGAAGTAGGTGTGAACGATTTGCGGAAAATGCGGATTAAAGTTGAAGGCTTGATAACATTGTTGTTGGACATCGCGCAGATTCTGAAACCAGATGTCGCGAAGCTTTCAGCGAGGGCGAAGCGGATGGTGCGTTTCCGCGTGCGCGCGTCATGACTGCACCTTTGCTGTCTCCGATTAGAGATGCACTATGGTGAGTAGCGCATGCGATTCAGGAACAAAATGGAGCAACCAATCAAGCTCCCTCGCTGTCATGGTCAGGGTCGGTGACTGTTGTGTACCGAAAGGTTCCGAAAATAACAAGGTCTTACAAATGAACTGGAAAAAAGTTGCGAGCCTGCGCACCTCCTGGCATGAGAATTCGTAGCGAGGACTGTTCGAGCGAACTGCTGCTGCTGCTGCACTGCTGCTGCTGCTGCACTGCTGCTGCTGCTGCCGTCGGTGCCGACGCTGCTAGATGGAATTCGCTCTTTCAGCCTCCACGGCCCAAGGCGAGCCGGTTCGCGAAGCCACAGCAAGGTGCTTGAAGGCCATCTCCAAACTGCCCCACGGTGATTGCGACAAACCTTGGTGAAACAAATGGTGCTGCCACTGGTTCAGCTGGGCTGGTGGCAATGCGATGGATGTGTTGATGATCTCTCTGTCTTGCTGCCGGACTTCCGCTTGCTTGTCATGGGCAAGGTCCATCCTGTCAGGCTTACCATGCCCAAAGCGCTTGACATGTCAAACTGAAAGTTGCGTTGATATCTTCAGTCAGAATCACATCCGCGGCCTTGGAGTTGCGATCATGGACCACCAGAACCGTGAGGAGGTTCTCGTCTGATTCCTGCCGCTTGCAGAACCCACAATCTACACAGTCTACACTGACCACCGACTTTGTGATTACAGGGTGGCCACGATGTGCCAAACGCAGAGCGCACCAGCTCTTGTAGGGCTGGGGAGTGTGTGTGTGTGTGTGTGTGTGTGTGTGTGTGTGTGTGTGTGTCTCTGTGTGTGTCTCTGTGTGTGTCTCTGTGTGTCTCTGTGTGTCTCTGTGTGTGTCTCTGTGTGTGTCTCTGTGTGTGTCTCTGTGTGTGTCTCTGTGTGTGTCTCTGTGTGTGTCTATGTGTGTCTCTGTGTGTGTGTGTGTGTGTATGTCCGCGTGCGCGCGTGCGTGTGCGTGCGTGCAGGCATTCTCTGTTGTGGGTGGCCCGCTCTCTGAATGCTCTTGAACGTGTCGTCGATGTCGCTCCAAGCGCCGCTGCTTACTACCTCGCTTTGTTAAACCAAGTGCTCTGCAGCCAGCTCGAGGCTTGCAGCGAAGAGCTCAGATCTAATCGCACACCATCGATCTCCACCTCATTGTCACATGTCGATGTTCCACAGGTGCTTTTGCTTCACCGGGAGCTGCCAGCACTGCTCCCGCATGCTCGGGCTCCCGACCCTCATCGATTACACCGACATGTCTTGGCACTGCTTCATGAGCTTCGTTGTTGCTTACTTCATGGTCATGAGCAATGGTCATCACGAAGTCGATCAAACTTACCTCATAATCCAAAGAGATCCTTTCCCGATCGTTTAGCAAGAGTTATTCGCCTCCAAGGTAGCGACCATGGAAGCAAGGTTGTGCCTTTTGCCACTGGTTGCTTTTATCGTTGTGGCATTTGGTCCTTCCCTTTTGCCTTTGACCCTTTGACCCTCTGACCCTCTGGGCACTACCTTTGCTCCGCCACGTCTCCTGGCCCTTCTTGCTGCATCTTATCCATGTGCTGAAGGCCATTGTAAGCGGCAACAGCGCCCTCTTTGCTGAATCTTCGTAGCACACTCTCGCGCTTCAACATAAGTCGAAATGCTCAACTGGACTTGCTCGCGAACATGTGCAGGCGAAGCTTTAGCCAGGATGCCAAGGCATCAGCTGGTCCTGCACAACCTTGCCTGAAGACTTGCGAAATTCTTCGGCCAAGCAAGGTGGCCTCGGCAAGTTTGGTGGCCTCGAGGTCCGTTCGAAACATGTCAGCAGCGTAGTGCAGCCACGCTCCGAAGGCAAGAGAGAAGTCATCCCATTTCGTCTGATCTTTCTTCCACTGTGCCATCGCCAATGAGTCGGGACACGTGCAGACGTTCGAGGCTTCCGAGAAACCAGCCCCTCCCGTGCCCTTACCGCAAAAATCTGCCCGCTGGTGCTGCCCGAACCAGCCGAGGAACCTCTTCAGCTCTCAACGCTATTGCCAGTACACTGTCCAACAGTTCAAGCAATCCAATGCACACCAATGCTCCAGTTCGAAGGTGGGCTCATCATCGTCTTGGCCTGGTCTCTTCCAGGCGCACGTCTCGTGCAACGTCACTGGCGGGTTTGGCGCACGAGAGCATGGAGAAATGGAGGCCACCGGCCACACAGCGTGCTAAGGCTCGGGTTGTCGTAGAGCCTGTCAAAGGTGCAGCCTTCCAATCAGTCCTGCCTCGAAGAGGCCCGGGGTCGAAACCTTGACAACAAGAAAGATGTTGAAACATGCTGACGCGGCTGACACCTGCAAACATCGTTTCTGCGCATAGCAGTTGTGCCTTCCCATAACTGTTTATAAGGCGGGTGTTCTTTGTGTTCTTTGTGTTTTTGGTTGCCCTTTGTACCCTTTGTACCAAAAAAAGACCCCGCAGGGTTGTTCTGTCGGAAAAGGGGGACTCTCGGACCGGTGAGCGCGAGGAGGGCGAGGGGGCGCTCTCAGAGGGTGGACAAAAGAGAAACTCGTAAAATTCGTATGTTTGAAAAGTATCCCAGAATGTGTTCAGGCCACTGCAACTCAGCTTGCAATCACAATCATTGAGCCTAAGAAGCGTCAACATTCGGAGAGTCACACGTGCTAGTCAATCATGGCTTCGTGGAGCCTGGACTTTCCATAAGATGAGGCAGGCGAGGTCGCAGCCACGCAAGTAGACGAGGACAGTCAATCGAGCTTTCCATCGACACTGGTGGTAGAGACCCCTGCAAAGAAGCCGAGGGAGAGTTCTCCCTTGACTCTGACGCCCGAGCCGTCCACAGGGACCTTACAGAGACGACTCCAGGCTACGCTTGCGGAAGCTCAGGCGTGCAGTGACCCGTACATGCTGGAGGCGGTCGCAGCCTAGCTGATGTGCTCAAGGCACCTGAGCAGCAAGGCCTTCTTTAGCTCCCGCATGAGAGCCGGCAGCAGCACACGCGTGCCAAAGCAACAGCTCGACAGCATGTGACCATGTGGTTGCGTAGAGCTTTCTTTTTGTCTTAACGCGAAAGCCGTTTAACTCGCAGCCTGGGACTCGACAGGATCAAGAAGCTGGCTTTTCATCCTTTTTCCTTTTGTCCTGCGAATGTCTCCCACAACGGCCGACGTATGTTCCCAGAGCTCCGCCCACGATTCGTCTGTCAATTGCAGACTTTGCCTCACAAGCTGCTTTTCCGAGGCGGTGCCGGTGGTTGGACGGCCGGCCTCACAAGGCCCTCGTGGCCGAGGACTGGAAGCGACATCATCTGCCGAGAACTGTCTCCGCAAAGTTGATGGCCTCGTCAAGGGAGGCAGGTGTTGAAGGAGGGCATGGCTCACCGTGCCTCCGCGAGAGAAACCACCATGGCATTCGAGATCCTTACAAAGGCTGCCGTGGCTTTCTGGCAACGCACCAGCTCCTGCTTTAGTAGCCCTTTTTGAGCATGGCGTTAGCGAACTCAATACTGCCTCCGATCGGCGAAACACTGCTCTCCAAACTTTTGGCTGGCACGGCCTTGCATTCAGCGACGGCCTGCATGTCCCCACCCCCGTGGTTGTTAGATTTCGTTCAGCCTTTCTCCTCGCCCTCTCCCGCTCCGAACTGGGGCTCTTTGGGCAGATCGTTGGCTGGGTGATAGTCTGCCCGCTGCGTGGATTGTAAGAAAGCTGCCCACTTTCGCCGTTGTTAGAAGCAACTCTCCCACACCGCGCCCAGGTGGATGCCACGTCCCTCGTAGATGATGGGGAGTTTTGATCTCGTCAAGGGTCTTTGCCGCAACTCCGGTCCGCCAGAACCCGGAGTAACTCTATGGGTGCATTTGTGCACGTGCAGATGCTGTCCCTTCGCAACCTCAGGCTGGACGCACAGCGCGGCAGACCATTGGCGGATACGACTTTTGCAACATGGGCTGGAACGGCTGGGACTGCCGGCCCAATCTGTGTGCATGAGCTAATTCCTGCATAGGAGAGTAGGTTTGCCCACAGACATTCGTTCACTTTGTTTAGGAAGGATTGGTGCATTTTTTCACGCAAGTTCCGTTCACGGCATAAGCTTTTGTAAAGCACAAGGAGGAGGTTTCGACGCGGCCCCCGCCCAGGTTACAAAAACAACGCTCACAGGACGGGTTTGGAAAAGACTTTTATGTTCTTGATGCAAGTTCTCTTTTTCGGCATGAACCCTCAGTTGCAAACGCGATGTTCGCAGGAAGGGTTTGAAACGGACAAGCTTCTTCGTGTCTGGGCATGAATGCAACCAAAAACCGGAAGGGGGGGCGCCCCGCCCCCACCCCTGTCCCGAAAATTGGGAAAGGATTCGTATGCTGTTAATGCAAGTTTTCTTTTCTGGGCTTGCCAGTGGACGGATTTGAAGGATCAGAAATGATTCAGAAATGCGCCAAATCCCCAAAGTTCGTGCCTGCGCAGTCCAAACGATGCTTGCCCAGCTTCTACCCATGTGGCGCAGGCCAAC